TCTCTCCATCGTAAAGGAGATTCATGGGAGAAGCGAACTGGCTTTAATAGCTGTTTTTTAATTGCCCCAATGCATCTGCTCTTCCTTGTCTGTGGGCTCTTGATTGTTTTTCCCTAGTTCTCACTAGTGTCCTTGACTGTTGTTTTGTTTAAGAGCTAAAACAGTTACTTCTAGGCTATCTTGCTTATAATAAGCATTTACCTTGCAGTTGGAATAGGTGATCATTGTAGGTCCCTTCCAACTGAAAAAATATTCTGAACCTTACTCTTCCACCTTTTGCACCCAAAAATATCGAAGTGCTGGGCAAAACACACTTGCACTGATTCTCACAGCACTCTCGTAAGAGAGCGGAATCATTTATTCCCTTTTAACCACGAGGATGAAGGAGATTAAGCACCTTTGTGAAGGTCATGCTGGAAAGTATGTGGCAGCTTGGGAATAAACTCCAGGACTCCTGCCTCTGGGTTCCCGATCATGCCCTCTCCCGAATTGTTTTCATAGGTAGGAATCAAGTAGAACCAGGAATATTTCAGGTTGAATTTGTTTAGTAAAACAGCGAAACCCAAATGTACATGGGATATCTGGAGTAGAAGGTTAAAAAAAAGAGGGAGCAGTCTTTCTTTAGTGTTATTCCTGATGTTAGACATTCAAGACCAAAGCTAAAGATTTCTAATAGCCAGGTGTTGGAAGGAAAAAGACATTGTCCGTATGCTCAGTGCCGCAAGCATCTGTGTACTGAAATGCATCATTTTAACATCATCCATCTTCTCTTGGTAGCACTGAACTTCCTGCTGCCATCCTCAAAGTTCTCAAATGGACTCTGGTCCACCAAGAAGAACATATTCAGAGGTACTGTCTAGAGCTAAGAATGGCTGAAAGGAGGCAACTTGCTTCAAAAAATTGAATATGGGGGGAAAACATCTATTTCTGTAGCAGTTACGAAGAGCAAACTGGGAAAGGTGGATTGCAATGGCAGGTAGCAGCTGCCCACAATTTCAAAGGCCTGGAGATAAAATTAAGGGCTTGCAGCTCAAGCCTGGTGGGAAGCACTGACAAATCGGAGAAGGGGAAAGCAAGTTCTTTGAACTGACTTTGCTTTGGAAACCTGTAATCACACGAGAGTCGAGCTGCAGCCTCCAGTTTGCAGGAGTCAGGTGATCTTGTGTCTCCAGACTTTGGCATCTCGGTGGTTGTTTTCTGTGGGATGTGCACACCCCCGCGTGTGTGGGCTTTCACACAGAAGGAGTTTTACATAGAAAAACTCATGAGCTTTCCTCAGACTGCGACTGTGCCGTTTCTGTTGTAGCTTCACCCTAGTCACTGTGGTGTCTTTTAGATTCTGTAGACTTTTGGCATGGGTTTTTTTTCCCTTATTTCAAATTTGAGTTACAGACTGAGCAGGCTGAAGCTTTCCTTGGGGGGAAAAAGCAGAGCAGCCATCGGGTTAGAGCCTGCAGTGTGAATGTAAGGCATTCCCAAAGGCTGTCTGTTATGTGCACCCGGTAAATAAAGAAATCCAAGGAGTGGAGGCCACCGGCATGACCAGGTCAGGCTGATACTGGAGAGGAAACCCATGAGTGCAGCTTCTCCCTGTCCAGGCTGAAATACCAACTGTTGCTGCGGTAGACATTGCGGGGCAATGAATGAATGCTAGAGTGGAAACACGTGTTGGGTATGACCAGTCCTAGTGCATCTTGCACACCCAGTCACCAGCACCGTGCTCTGCCTATGGTGTAGTTCTTGCACTAGCAGATCGTAACAGACCTTTTGACATCATGGGGTTTGCTCCCGCAGTTACGCCAGCAGCTGTTGAAATTATTCATGTACTCACTGATGATCAGCAGTAAGGTTTGTTGTGAGGTGACTGGGGTACAGTTGTTTAAATCATTTTCTCTCCACCAGCCTCTGGCTGTGCTTGTAGTGTGGTTCAGAGCATAATTCCCCATCTTACACTCTGAATGGATGGGGAAAAGTTTCATTTAAGTAGTTCCAAAGGAAGATCTGTTTCATAGCTGAGAGATCAAGCCGCTAAATGTCTTGACTGGTGCAGCTGTGTCTCCTACCACCTCCCACCTCTTTATTTGCTTACAGACAAACTTGCTTCTCCTTTTTTTCCCACTTTCTGGGTCTCTCCCTCACCTTTTTTTAATTTTATCCTTTCCTCTTAATACACCTCTTGTCTCAAGTCTGTGGGCTGTACCACCTCAACTCTCACTAGTTTAATTGTGGGAATTAGTCCTTTGAGATGAATGGAAATGAGAACTGGCTCCCAACAACTATTGATGAGTTCACTTTTATGTGTTTATTAGCTCTGTCTTGCCTCTTACTATGATGTTCCTCCATCTTCATGGTGAAGGAGCCACATTTGCAGTTTTGCCTACCAGGAGAGTACAGCAGGGATTGCAATGTGAGAGGAAATAAAGACCAAGTAATGTGCTAGCTCTGTGGGCTACAGGGACCTGTAGCTGCGCGTTTGGGGACCCCACTGGCATGGAGATTGCTGTGTGTTGGTTTTCTTCTCTGAGCTTAAAACACAAGGTGGCAGAGCTGATCGGCACCTCTGCTAATCCAGGCAGCAGAGCGGCAGCGTCTTTCCTGCTGCTGGACCAGGACCCTTTTCAAGCTGAGATGTTGGGTGCCAGGAAGTTGCTGAGGTGGAGGATGCTCCGTGTGCGCAGGCTCGGGTCACGATGCCTCTTACATTGCCCCTTCCTTGCATTGCCTTTGCCAGAAGCCTGTGGAGGTGCAGCCAGCATCCCACAGATGCATGCACAGAGGGGAAAGCTGCCATTCTGCCAAGTCCTGGGGTTGTGGCTGGCTGGAGCCCGTGCTGCAAAGAAACTCAGGGCTGTTAGGCAGCTTTCAGGGCACCTAAAGCCAGTGTGGCAAAATAAAACACTTGAGACATTTGTAACTCTTCATGGCATAGTCAGTGTGTCATGTTCTCCTGGTGGTGGACCTTTCGCTCAGCTAAGTCACTCTACCAGAGTATTCCTTCCATCTTTCCTCTATGAGGTTAACTGGGAAAGCAACTGTAAGATCTGAAGAAGGGCTCTCCACATCTCAGACTTCTCCCTAAAAAGTTTTAGCTGAGATTCCAGCCATCCCAAAGAGTTGAAGCAACAGCATCTCACGCTTCGTCCATAATTCTTGTAGATAATGGCATATTTTATTCCTGTGGCTCCTGCATTTGCTGGCCCTGGCCCTGCAGAGTATTTTATTGCTTTGAGCTGATGCTGTGAGGATTTATTGTGCTCTATTTAGCCCGGTGCTGCTTCATTGTTCCATTCGGTGCCATCCTAACACAGCCGACCACCAGGCTTCCTGGGCCCCGTGTCAGACCTGCGCTTGCTCTCCGTGTGCCGATTGCCATCATTCACCGCTGCGGCTGGTGTCGGGCTGCGCGCGCCGGTAATTCCCACATGTACGTCACCCTCCCCAAAGGCTCCCCAGCAGATCTACTCTGATTACTTTCAGGCATTGTTTGCAAGAGCTATGAAGTTTAGTGTTGCAAAAACTGAGCTGCTTTTGAGTGATTTGGAGTAGAGGTTTTCATCATCTGTGATGGTTTCTCCTGGCGATTGCTTTCTTTCAGTCATTTATGTAATTGCGGTACTCGGTTTCCTGTGGATTTTTATACTTCATTTGAGATTCATCTGAAGATGGCATGTTCCCATCTCTAGGAATGTGGCCAGATTGAGACATGAGCTGCCTAAGCTGGCTGCTGAAATTGCAGGCCATATTTTTGTTTCATCCTGAGATGCTGCTCTGATTTTTCCGAGGTGTCTAAGACACAGTCTTCCAGTGTCTGCAGTAGCTGTACAGTTCATGGCGGAGAATATTTTATAGTTATCCCTCTTTCCATCATACTTAATTCCCATAGTAGCTTCTCATGAAGACCTGTTTCAGTTATACTTAGGTGATATTTTCCTTTCTATATCAACTGATCACTCCAAGTGACATGTACTAGCACGTATGTGCATGAACAAATGCCTCTCCTTATGGATGCTGTGAGTGCTGCAGAGCCTGTCGCCTGGTCCTGCTGCATCTGCAGGCACACAGAGCTCGATGACCAAGTAACAAGAGGAATTTAACACTTGCAGGGATATTGTATTTTTCCTAGGTAATTTGTAGGACCGTTTAAGGGACCCATTTAAGGGATGCCTGTACACAGGGTAAGGCATAAGGTTTCTACTGGTAAAAGTCAAGCACACAAATATAAGTGAATGTGTTATTCATACAGCTGCGTGTTTTCACGTGCCAAGTGGCATGGTTCAGTCTCTGCCCCGCAAACGAGGTAGTTCAGGTTGTGAACACAGACTGCCCTTACGCTTTCCTTTTGACGACGAGAGTATTAGGTTAATACATGTGAAAGAGGTGCACAAGGGGGCTATTAAAGAGAGAAACTTTAAAATTAACAGATCACAGACCTTTATAAGCAGACTAGTAGATTAGTGTTCTTGTCAGAATATCTTTTTACCAACACATCGTTTAGTAGTTGAACAGCCTGGCAGGCCATCCTAGAAAGGAGCTGGTTCAAAACACAATGAGCTAATCGAACATTAAAAAAAAAAAAAAAAAAAAAAAAAAAAAAAAAAAAAAAAAAAAAAAAAAAAAAAAAAAAAAAAAAAAAAAAAAAAAAAAAAAAAAAAAAAAAAAAAAAAAAAAAAAAAAAAAAAAAAAAAAAAAAAAAAAAAAAAAAAAAAAAAAAAAAAAAAAAAAAATCAGTATTTTCAATGAGTGTTAGGCTAAGGCCTCCGTAAAGAGCCTGGGTTCCTCCAGCCTTCCCTTCTCTGTATGCACAATGTACGTGGATAATATGGATCCAAGAGGAAGTTCACTGGTTTGAGTCACTGGTTTATTGCATTTTTATGACTGTAACCACAGGATGTTCCAATGTGTTTTTTTCTAAAAAAAATCTTAAAAAAAATAAACCTTTTTGGGTTTTCATGGGAAGGGTTGTGTTTATCTTGGCTAATTCTGCCTATCCTGCTTTCCAGGGCCACCCATTCATCGTACAGTACAATGATGGGAATGCAGAAGTTGTGTCCATGTGGGTGTGCAGGATGCTTGAGGAACGGCGATCGACCCAAGGACCACAGTGAGCTGGACCGGCTCACAGCAATGCGCAAGACAACAGCTCATCCTGGACTAGCAGCACCAGCCCCACGCTTCGGACTCTCAGTCTTTCTGGATCATATTTTACTAAAAATATTTTCTAGAAGCATCAACAAAATCTTTCAGGATATTTGTTGCTGCCTTTCCCTCACCACCACATTAAGAAATTTTCTTCCCACATTTCTTTTGCTGCTCAGCAATTTAATGTCCTCAGATTATCTTCAGTTAAACTGTACACAGCCTTAAAGCAAGTATTTTATATCTATTTTTTTTGTTACTGAATGTATTGTATATTTCCTGGCTTCAGAGTATTTTTTAACTGTTAGTCTTTTGCTATTGTACGAATGACATGCTGAGTGTTCAGAGGATTTCGTAAGGAGCTGTTGGCTGTCTTTGAGTGCAGACATCCACAAAATGCTGGTTTTAACTGTAAAACAAAAGCAACCAAACAAAAAGAAAAGAAGTATCGGGACTTGCCCATCCTGCGAGGAGGTGAGGGATTGCCCTACCAGAGTAAAAGCACGGCAGGTAGATCAGCATCACACTATCAAATGACCGGTGGTGCCTCTCTCCGCTCCCAGGCACCTGCTGCTGTGGCTCGGGTTTGCTGGGAGGGCCACGCAGGAAAGACAACACAGCACGCTGGTGTGGCGAAGAGCGTCCACGCTGAGGCACTGCAGGCTGATCCGTAAATGCAGAAAGGTTTTGCTGAGGGGGAAGGACGTGAGGTGAAAGAGGGCAGCGCTCTCCTAAACAAGGGAGTAGGGGTGCCGCTGGGTGAGCACCAGCCAGAGCTGGCAGCCCCAGAGCCGTGCGTGGTCGAGATGGGCTGTTGGCCTCTGGCTGCAAAGGGAGAGCAGCCCCGGGCACAGGGAGTTTGCAAACAGCGGCAGCACAGAGGGTGTGAGGTTCTGCCCATGCCACACGAGGAAGCTGAGGGCCACGACACAGGCTTGCACAGCGTCCCACAAGCTTGTGGGGGGAAGAGAGCCTGCGCAGAGGGGCCCAAGCCGTGCTGTGCCACTTGCCCTCATGACCAGAGAACAAGCTGCAGGGTTTTACTTCTTATCACAGCAGTTTGTGGCTTGCTTGGAAGCGTCTTGCCTTTCTCAGCTCTACCTTGATCAGTTATTTTTTTACATCGGAGTTGCTGCATGATGGGTGCAGCTGGGTCAAGCAAAGGCTCCCAGGTTTGCTGTTACTGTAAAGGAAAGAAGAACGATTGCAATGTCTCTGCTGTGTGTTTGTTACTCCTGCAATTTCTGTGTATGTTTCCACAGCAGACTGATGCACATTTAATCAGTCCTTGTGTTAAGATGTTTATTAAAAAACAAACACAGAAGAGAGGAGGACCGTGAAAGGCAGAGTTGGTGTGTGAGACTTGGGTGGGGGAGGAGGTTGGGGCTTTTGTTTGCTTGTTTTTGCGTTAGAAATAAACTTTTGCTAAAAAAAAAAAGTCAGGTAGTTTATTATATACCAGCAGCTTAAAAAAACCCATGCAGTGAAAAATTCCTCCTGAACCACTGCAAATCTGAAATGTTACTTTGGAAGCAGCCTCGAAAAGACTTTGTTTCCTTCCTTGGAGGGATAGTTTGTCTTCTTTTGAAGTATAGAGGTTGCAGGCATGAACTTCTAGACTAAAGTTTGTCTTAATTGCTCTGATGTCACAACCTCCCTGGCAGATAACAGTACAATGAATGAGTCAATGGCCCCCATACCTTCAGGTCCTTTTTCTAAAGTGAGACAAATTTCTTCCCTGTGAGCCAACCAGACTATAGGCAGCTCTTCCATTTATTAATCTCTAACAGTTTGCATTAGCTTTCTCTGGATAAAAAGTCTCTCCCTCAGATTTAGTTAAAAAGTCGGTAAAACCAAGGCTTTTCCTCTCGCTTTCCCTGGCAGGGAGGTCGGGAGGGGAAGACGTCACCCTGAAAATCTGTGCGGGATGCCAGCTGATGGAAACGTGAAAAATCTCCTGGCTAACAGGCTGACAGTGTTACAATTCACTGGCATGCGTATTAACCTTGCTGTCTTCATCAGTATACTTAATCAATCCAGCAATCATGGGGGAGGTTTGGGGCCTCTGTCATCTTTCCTTCCCCAAGTCCTTGAATTTGGTGCAGCCGGAGGACAGGAGGAGGACAAGCAGCCGTGGGTCTGCTCGGTGGCACTGCTTCTGCCCCGCTCCGCTCCCAGCACTGGGTTAATGCCGTTTTGGGGGGGATTAGGGATGGATGGGAGAGCGGAGCGGGCAGGTTGGGGAAAACCCAGCTCCTCTTCAGCATAGCCAGCCTTTATGCCACCCTGAGTGTCGAGCGGCAGCAAGGTCAGGCCTCCCCGAACTGCTACCTCCTGCCTTGGGAGATGGTGGCTCTGGATGGTGGATCCCCATGGGAGGTCTGGACCCCACAGCCCAGTCTGCATTGCTGCATGGGGGCTACTGGGGTCCCCCCGGCACAGCACCTCACTCTCCCCTTCCAACTTGCGTCCTGGCCCTGCTTTGCATGCACATGTGCAAGCCCCTGGTGCCCACAGAGCCAAATTCAAGCAATTCAGCCCCATTCTTGCCACCACCCATCAGCACCAAGGGGCAAAGGTAAGGGGAAGGGGGGAAGGCAATAAGATTGGGCCAGGATGTGGGCAGATTTAGCTCCACTGGGTGCCCCCGCCCACACCAAGCAGCTCCCCAGCAGGTCTGCACCCAGCCTGGGCTTCTCTCCCTGCAGCAAGTGCGTGTCGGCCCCCTGTCTGTGCTGTGCGGGGCAGCGGGAGCCGGGGTGAGCCTGCTGTGGGGCACCCTGATGCGGTGCAGGATCCCCCCCTAAACCTGGCTGAAGGGGTCCCCCTGGGGTGCAGCACTGCGAGCAGCACGACGAAGCGGGGTCTGCTGTGCTGCATTTGGGCTTAGGAAATCCTGCCTCAGCACGGGGGCTCTGTGCACGCAGAGGTGACTTTGAGATTGCCAAGACACGTGAAACGTGCCGCTGCGAGCCCAGCCCCAGCCTCTGCCGCCAGCCTTGTGTGTAACGTCATCCCGGCCCCAAAACCTGCTCTGGAGGTGGGAAATGAACAGGCAGGGAGATTTTCCCGGCTGCCAGGCAGGGCTCAAAGCGGTGGGTGCTGCAAAGGGGCTCAGCAGTGCTGCTCTCCACGCAGGCAGGAGCTGCGCTGGAGCCGGGGGTGCCTGGGGACGTTGTCCGTCTCTCCTTCCTGCTGCAACTTTTTGGAGTCTGAATCAGAGCATTTCTTGGCTGAAAAGCTTGCAGAAAATGCTGCAATACTATAGCCTACAGCTGAGTCCTGCTCAGAAGATGGCATGGGGGGGGGTGCGTAACAAACGCATTAATTCAGCAGTGGATGCTATAGATGTGCTGAGTGACCCCCCCATCTCCCCCAGTCCCACTCCTCATCCCACCAGCTCATTTAGGGACTCCACCAGCAGCCCCACACCAGTCTCACCGCTCTGTCTCCTCTCCCTGTAACCTCAGTCATGGCGGTATTGATAGACCCAATCTCCTATGGGAGTGTGTATGCGGGAGCTCACAGGCTCTGCAAGAAATTGGGTATGTCCCATCTGTGCCAGAACTTCCCGTGTTTTCCGCTTTTCCCTTCCTGTGATCCTTGCCAGGCGAAGCTCACCCTGTGAGATGAGCCACGGGTAGTTTGCCCCTAAATGCACACAGAATTAGAAAATATTTTGTTTCTTGTATCCCGTGGCCAAATACATCCTGCTGTCAGCTTTCCAAAGGCAAAGTGTCAGTCTTTGCTTTCCGAATAACAGCCTGAAAAGCTGCATGTGCGTGTGTGTGTCTCTGTATGCACGCACACATCTGGCAAAGAAACGAGAAACGGGGAATTGCAGCAGGCTGTGGCTTCGGGGGCTGTGAGGGGTCCCTGACCCGTCCCTCTCCCTGGGCTTAATGTCTGTCGAGCAGGGACGGCAGCGGCCAGCAATGCGCTAACATTAATAACTGAGCAATCACTAGAAACAGCTCTTGGGAGCTTCATTTGATCCCTTTGATATCCGAGAGCATAAGCAAACCGGAGGATTGAACCTGGGAGCGGCGTATGTGTTTTCCTGCCTCGCAGAGCTTTGTGGTCCTGCAGGGAAAGTTTACCTGGAGGCATCAATGGAAAAGGGATGGACTGCAGGGACCTTCCGCCTCTATGATGCAGGGAGCATGTGGGCAACGTCTGAAGCAAAACCTGGGAATTTGGGTCTTAGCTGGAAAAAAAATCCCCTAGTCCTGCAGGGAGCAAAATCCGCTGATGGAGAGCGAAGGCTCTGAGAGCCCACAGCAGAAACTGCTGTCTGGTGACAGAGGGACCTCGGCTGCGGGTGGGGAGGGGGGCGATGCTGCTTGGGCAGACACACGGCTCGCTCAGCTTTCTGGCTCCGACTGTGCTCCCTCTGCCCAGCACTGCCTCTGGGCAGGACAGCCCAGGGGGGCCATCGGCATCCAGCCCCATGGGAGCTGCACCTGGGACCCCCCCAGGGAGCCTGCAGCCTTGGCTGGTGAGGAAGAGGAGGGAGGAGGCAGGTCAGGGGGCTGCAAGAGCCAAGATACCCCAAGCCAGTGCTTCGCTCTGGGGGGGCTCCCCAGTGCAGAGAGGAGCTGTCAGTGGCTGCTCTGCTGCTCCCCACAGCGCAGGGGTCCAGGGCACACAGAAACACCCTTGGCCTCTTCGGGCAGTGAATGGGAGCAGCAAACCCTTCGCCTCCACAGGGGTTTGAAGCAGGCAGTCCCCACGTTGCTCCCTGCGAAGGACTCCGAGGCTGCTCAGCCTCTTGGGGACAAAGCATCTTTGTGCAGAGGCTCTTCCTCCCACTCCCGTTAAGATGTGCAACCAGCAGAGATAAACATGTAAGAGACCCGACAACACCCCCAGGAGACCCGTCCGCGCTCAGCTGCCAGAAGCCGGCCCACGCAGGCCTTGGCGTGCTGACGAGGCTGTTAAACACATCACAGGCGACCCCAGCTCTTTGAGAGCTGCAGAAGAACCAGCTCTGGCCTCTCAGCTTCTCTGAAGGGTGCTCAGGAGACCCTCTTCAGCCATGTGAGGTTATTTGTGGGTGACTCCTGCCCCACGCAGCCCGGTCCCTGGCCCACTCCTGTCCTGAGGCTGTCCCCTGCCCTGTGGGGAACTGGGCAGGAACCAGCCTGAGCCCCAAATGCTACAGCTCGGTGGGCACGGTGTCCCTGTGGTGGGAGCCAGGCCCTGGGGAGCAGAGGGGCTCTCCAGTGGGGAGGGGGAGCCAGGGCCCATTGCATGATGGTGAGATCCCGAGCTATAGCAGTTATTTTAGGATAACCCGTCTTCAGCCTTCTCTGGGGGACCCCTCAGGCTGGGGGGGCTCACAGGCACCGCACGGCAGAAATCTGGAGGGATGGGGGGACCACCCCCTGAACTTGCTGGCCTCATCCTGCTCCCCCAGCTCACCAGTATTGCACCGCCGGGCTGCCCGGCCTGGTCTGGGAAAGCCTAATAGGGAAAAAAAAAATTAAAATTTCTAACTATATTCAAGTATTTTGGTCACGTTGAATAAAAAGAAGGTTGTGCTTTAAGAAAAGCAAAGCTCAGAGGTCTGTGCCTTTCCCTGCGGGAAGCTGCAGCGGGAGCGCTGCGGTGCGGCTGCTGAGGAGCTGCACTGACCCGGGGCTGCTTTACCTTCAGTAAAGGGTATGGCCATAAACTACAAGTGTGCACTAAGGACAGGATTTATAGATTGAGCCTTACCGGCTACTAGAGCGGCTGGGGCTTCCTCGGGGCCACACCGAG